GTAATACTATCTGCCTACATTACCAGCTGATACGGCTGTCAGGACCTCTGTCCCAGGCCGAGCGGGACATATGAGTTCCGTTAGCTGTCGGGTGGATGTTCATCAATGAATGAGGCAGAGTGTTTATCTAGGCGCTTGAGACGCGGCTAATCACTTCTTCCTAGAGAAAATGTGGCAGGAAGAAGAAAGCAGGAAAAGCGTTGTCATTGTTGGTGAACAGCAGGATGGAGGACCACGTAGCAACCAGCTGACGGTCAAAACGCTTATCACCTCTCGCACGAGAATATCGGTCTCGTTCAATTTTGAAGGTGTGACTTCAGCGTAGGCGTCCTTCATCCTTTCTGCTGCTGATGCATAGCGGAGTACTCTCATCCAGTGACCCCAAAAGCGTGTCTTCAGTAGATCGGCCTGGTTAGGTGTTCCTAAATCCAACATTGTGTATGTCCGTATTCGCCCAGAATCGCCTGACGATAGTGGTTCGTAATCGCAACTTAGCTCCCTGCCCACAGCGGGTTCTTGTAGCGGTGCGCCCGCATCGCTAACCATTTATCATCATTAGTAATAATCAGGCAAAGCACACCCATCCACTCCACGTGGTTTAACGTAGCCTTATAGAGTACTTTGGAATGTTGGTGTTAGAATTAGCACTGCGAGAGCTTGGTTCCAAATCACTGCCGTTGTGCAAAATCGTGGTTAAGAGTAGGCCTTGACTAAGTTCTATAACTTTCCGCATGGAACTGGTGAGGCCTAGCGGTTAATAGTGCTTCGATAGACATTTTTCTGCACAATTGTTACAACACTCCGTTTTTCAAGTTGCGCAGTGCTTCGCAAACTGAATAGCATCACTTGCATTTTACAAGCGCCAATGGCTACTGGCTGTCAGGTGGGGCTACACAATCTAACGTTGCCTTTCTGGATTTCGAACCAATTCCTTGAGACAGCATGAATCGACGAGAAACAGCGACCAAACAGCCTCAAACAGGACGATTATGTGCATACGTAGAACTTCAAGATACAAGACGAAGAGATCGGCTGGTCACTGACTGGTCCAGGCTCATAAGCTGCTGGCACAACCCTCCTCAACCGGATGCCAGCATTGCTTATTGCAAAATCTGCGGTGGTTTAAAGGATCATAACAGATCTTCTGTGCATCTTCCGGGCAAATCATACCTCCTAATGAACAGGGAAGACATCGAATTTGTGAAGGAAGCTAAACATAGTTTCGGTTCAGCGTCTAAGGGACTCTTAACCGATAAACCAGAACTCATCAAAAGCCAAAGATTGCAAGTGGAAAAAACAAGCGACAGCGAGCAATCGGCCTCGAGCAGGAGACCGATGCAAGTGCGCGGAACCTCAAAACGTAAGATAAAGGAGGTTAGCGGATCGCTCCTTAACCCTCAGTTAGGACCCGGGCAAATTATCTATTGTTGAGAAAATAAGCTTTGAGAAAATA